TTTCATCCAATTTTCACGATAGAGTCTTCTGAAATCTCTCTTTAGGTCTCTTCATGTTCCTTTTATCTTCTTGGTGTAAATCACTAAATTTCAGGTTTTAGAGTGGATCATGGTGTAGAAAGGGTCTGTGATTCTTTCTATTAGAAAGGTAGGGTTAAGATCAATGTGGTTAGTCTTGGTCCATTGAAGAAGCTGCGTAATACTCTTTGAGGGTTAGAGTTTCTATGGTCTTTTCTTTTGTATAGAAGGGTACAATGTTTTTAGACAAAAAATCGATCGATTCTTTGATGCTGATAATTCTTTTGAGTTCGTGATTCTTGAGGAATTATATGTGATCTTGTGTTCTAATCTTTTAAGTTCGAGTCATTACATCTCTCTCTTCTTTTCAATCATTAAAGAACTTTTCAATCATACATTCTTTAATAAAATAATATTACACGTAAATTTAAAAATTTTCTTTATTTTTTAACAATATATTCTCCATCAATCTACTAATCCAAAATACACTCTACACAAAAAATGAGGCTCAAAAAAATATTTATTATAGACGTTGGAAGAGTGGAGGATCCTCTTACCTTAGATGGGAAATGGTTTACTCTTGATGCTGAAGAAAATGAAGTAGTTGAAAAGTACAGTATTGGGTTTTCCATTAAGGTCGGCACTACTCTCTTATAAGAGTCAATTTTTGCATTCACGTTGAATTTGGTTTATAAAAGCTAGGCATGTTGAGGATTTACCCCCATGGATACCAATCAAAGCATTTTAGGATAGAATCTAGCAAGTCCAATGCGTTAAAAAAGATTTTTGCTATCTTGTATTTTCCATAATTGCTGACTAATGTTTCATCTTCAATTTCCTTTTACTATTGGAAAGAGGCTAAGAGCTTGTAGGGCTCTGCATGTACTTCGCTGCTGAAACAAGGTTATTCCCCAGCGTGGTTTTTGTTGTTATTTGTCAATTTCCCGCATCCAATCCTTACAATAAAGGAATACAAGACTGAAACTTTTTGTTCCTATTACCAGATTTTTAGAAGCTGGTATAGTTATTACAAGAAAAGTGGAAGATGACAAAATCTCATTAACCTTCTGCATTAGTCGAAGCTGCTGGTGTTGGGCTATGACTGCTCATAGTTCTCTCTAAATAGATCTCCTTTCATTCTTGGCATGTTTTCTATCAAATTTGATCGAACTATTTGTAATCTAGAATTTCATCAAAAATTAAGCATGTTTATTTCATTTTATAGCCAATACCTTAGTGACATGTTTGGTAGAGAATGCATATCATTAGACAATATCAATAAAGAAAAACAAGTTAATTATGCTATCTTTTTCTATTAGCACTACACTATTAGAGGAAATTGGGCAAATTAGTTTATTTTATTACCTTGTATAGCGCACAAAATCAGGGATTAATTCCCTTTTATAATTTTCATATATAACCATGTACTATTTTATAAATTAAAGGCAATACAAAGAAGAAATTATCTGGCAAAATTGACATGATATCAGCGCCCTAAAATTCTTTTCTTGTACATGTGATTGTCTTCGTGTTTCTGGAAATTCCTAGCTATTTGTGGTTGGCGGCTGAATCACAGTGGTTGACGTGGCTGGTGGGCATAGTTGAACCATTGTTCATCAGAGTTGAATGTGGTCACATCTCGTATCTATCGCGGTGTCTGAAGTCACTCTAGTAATGTTGCAGATTGTGGTATCATCTGAGGATTTGGGTCTGTCATTTTTCAGCATCTTCAAGGTCAGTTCTGGTCATCATAGGTTGTTCCGGTACCGTCAGTAATCACTTGTCACACTTCCTACGTCATCGAGCTCGAGTGATTTGGGCTTTACATGAGCTTATCTCGTCGCCAATCTTCCTTCTCTGTTGTTGGGCTAAACTTAAGTGGATGGTTGTTATTTTTTGGGCTTCGATTATTTGGACTCAAGTTGCTGGTTGAATATGATTTTATTTGGGCTTGAGCTACGGGTTTGGTTTGATTAATTTTGATTGAAATTCATCATGTCATCTGAAAATGGTGATTCTGTCTGCATTAACTTTACTGGGAAAAACTATTCTACATGGACTTTTAACTTTCAGTTATTGGCTAAGGGTAAGGTGATTTTTGGGGACTTATTGATGGGAGTCTCCCCCTCCAGATCAAGAGAAAGACAAGGAAAAATACCTTGCCTGGAAAATGAAAGATTCTCAAATTATGGCTTGGATCATCAGATCGATTGTTGCTTAGATTGTTCTTAATCTCAAGCCTTACAAGTCATCCCGTGCTATATGGGACTATTTGAAGAAAATCTACACTCAAAACAACGATGCTCGAAGACTTCAATTGGAGCTTGAACTGGCAAATTTCTCTCAAGATTCGCGCTCCATTGAAGAATATTACTCTGAGTTTTCTAATCTTATCTATGCATCCGTTTCATTCGACGATTTGGAGGCTGTCCAGGCTGTACATGAAGTCATTAAGAGGGATCAATTTCTCATGAAATTGCGACTGAATTTGAACCCATCAAATCCAGTCTTATGAATCGTGAATCTATTCCAACGTTGGATGGCTGTTTGGGTGAATTACTAAGAGAAGAGCAACATCTTATCACTCGTATCGCTGTAGAACAATGGCATAATCAAGTAACACCGATTTCTATTGCTTATGTGGCTCAAGGAAAAGCCAAGCATCTAGTGTGCAGTATTACAGTTGTAAAGAGTTTGGTCACATGGCTCTTCAATGTCCCTGAAAGGTTTGCAATTACTGCAAGAAACGTGGACATGTCATTAAAGAATGTCCAATTTGTCCTCCACGTAAGACTGTGGAAAATTATGTTGCTGCTGTCTCGTTCGCCTCCAGTTCTGCACCACCACCTACCCATGTTCAAGTTCCATCCTCTCCTAGCCCTGTCCAAAACCCCATTTCCCTTGAGATGATCCAATAAATGGTTATTTCTGCATTGTCTGCCTTGGGTGTTTCAGGTAATTCTTCAGTTACCCCCTCTTCTTAGTTATTGGACTCGGGTGCTTGTAATAACATGACTTCTAATCTTCAGTTGGTTAGTAATCTCAGACCATATACTGGAAATCTCAATATACACACTGCCGATGGTAACACGCTTCCTATCTCAACCATAGGAGATATATCCCCAGACTTGTTGAAGTTTTAGTCTCTCCTAGTTTATTAACTTATCTTATATCTGTTGATCAACTTGTTGATAACAATTGTAATGTGTCTTTTTCTTCTTCTGGTTGTCATGTGCATGATCAGGTGTCCAAAAGGACGATATGAGGGGGCCTAAAGAGGGACGTCTCTTTCCTATTTCACTGAAGCAGATTTCATCTTTTTCTTTAGTTTGTAATTCTGCTACTTTTAATGTTGTTGATTAGCATAAAAAATTAGGTCATCCCAACTCTAACGTGCAACAATACTTGTTAAATTCTGGTTTGTTTGGTAATAAAAATTTTGCTTCGGTTTCATCTATTTCTATTGATTGTGCTTCATGTAAGCTTGCTAAAAGTAAGACTCTACCATTCCCATCTCATGGTTCTCATGCTTCACATATTTTCGATATTGTTCATAGTCATGACATTTATCGATGACTATAGTCGCTTTACATAGGTTTATTTTCTCCGAGCAAAAAGTGAGGTTTTCTTTGCTTTTCAAGCCTTCCTTTCTTTTGTTGACAACCAACTTTCCTCCTTGAGTCTTAAGATTTGATTCGGGAGGTGAATACATGTCTAATGAGTTTCAATTGTTCTTACAGACAAAATGTATTATTTCTCAACAATCTTGCCTCTCTACCTCTCAACAAAATGGGGTAGCAGAACACAAGAACCGTCACCTTCTTGACATGGTTCGAGCTCTTTTGATCGAGTCTTCTGTTCCTTCTCAGTTCTAGTGTGAAGCCTATTCTACTGCTGTACATCTTATAAATTGGTTGCCCTCTCCCACTTTCAATAATGTCTCCCCATTTTATAAGCTCTTTGGTCAACATCTTACATATTCTCATCTACGACCTTTTGGATGTGTGTGTTTTGTTCATTTACAACCACATGAAAGAACAAAACTCACACCACAATCTGTTAAGTGTACCTTTATGGGATATGGTGGGACACAAACAGGATACGTCTGTTAAGATCCTAAGACACAACGTATTAGGATTTCTCGCAATGTCATAAGAAGCTGTTGTCCCTACTCCTGTGTTTTCTATCTTGCCTGAGTTTCATACAGAATTCTCTCAATACAAGCATGGTCTTGTGTATACTCATAGGCCTGCAGCTCCAATCACTGTTCCCGGTCCTTCTTGTTAGACGACTGTCCTTCCAAGCCTTTCTGATCCTCCAACTATGACATCAGATCCTTCATTAGATGATCTCTTGCCTCCTGTCACTCTTCATCGCTCTTCTCACGTGTTACTCGTTCACCAGATAGGTATGATTTTCCCTCCCATAGCTCTATGTTAGCTACTCTTAACTCGATTGTCATTCTTTCCTCATATAGACAGGCTATGGAACAAGAGTGTTGGCAACAGGCAATAAATGTATAATTTGAGGCCCTTGAGGCCAACCAAACTTGGGATACAATGCCATGTCCAGAGACTGTGAAACCCATTGGGAATAAATGGGTATATCCAGTGAAACTTAATTTCGATGGTTCTCTTGAGCGCTATAAAGCTCGGTTGGTTGCCTTGGGTAATCATTAGGAGTATGGGATGACTATGATGAAACTTTTGCTCTCATGGCTAAAATGACCATTGTTCGCCTCTTATTATCACTTGTTGCTTCTCAGTCTTGGCCTTTATATCAAATGGATGTAAAGAATGCATTCTTACATGGAAATCTTCAAGAAGATATTTATATGAAACTTCCATCTGGTATACCACTCTCTTTGGTTGACTCTGTATGTAAACTCAAATGCTCTCTATATGGTCTTAAGCAAGCTCCTTGAGCATAGTTTGACAAGTTCCGCTGCACTCTTCTGGATTTCTTCTTCATTCAAAGTCAGTATGATACTTCTCTTCTTGCACAAAAGCCCTGTTGGCATCCTCTTGTTGTTTGTTTATGTGGATGATATTATTATCTCTGGATCTTATTACACTCATATTCAAAAACTTCAACAGCATCTTCACTCAATTTTTCATATGAAGGATTTTGGTCATCTCGCTTATTTTCTTAGCTTAGAAGTTCATACAACAAAGCATGGTATCTTCTTAAATCAACATAAGTATACTCAGGACTTGATTAAGTTAGCTGATTTATCTGATGCTCCTCAACTGATATTCCATTGGAACTTAATGTTAAGTATCGAAAAGACGAATGGGATATTATTCCAGACCCTACTTTGTATCGAAAGATGGTAGGTAGTCTCATATATCTCACTATCACACGTCCGAATATTTTATTCGCAGTTCATACTGTTAGCAGATTTATAGACACCCCTCGTCATCATCACTTGGTCGTTGTTCATCGCATTGTTCGTTATCTTATTGGGACTCCTCATCGTGGTTTGTTCTTTCCTCATGGGATACCTCTTGAGCTCACCGCTTACTGTGATACTGATTGGGCTGGTTGTCCTGATCATCGTCGATCTACTACTGGGTGGTGTATCTTTCTGGGCAATGCTCTCATCTCTTGGAAATGTAAGAAGCAGGACTGTGTCTCTAAGTCCTCCACTGAAATTGTTATTGCGCTGTGTCCACTGCATGTTCTGAGATTGTATGGTTGCGTGGTATTCTTGTAGAACTTGGTGTTTCACAATCACATCCTACCTCCCCCCCCCCCCCCCCCCCATGGTGACAATACTAGTGCTATTCAGATTGTGGTCAATCCTGTGTATCATTAACACAGCAAACATATTAACGTTGATTGTCATTACATTCGGGATGTCTATGAGTCTAAACTCATTGATCTTCCTCATGTTTCCACTACTCAGCAGATTGCAGGCTTTTTCACCAAATCTCTTACTCACCTCCGTCATAATTTTCTTGTGAGCAAATTGATGCTAGTGGACTTACCATCATCAATTTAAGGGGGGGAGGGGGGGGGCGGGGGTTATTAGAGGAAATTAGGCAAATTGGTTTATTTTATTACCTTGTATAGTACACAAAATCAGGGATTAATTCCCTTGTATAATTTCCATATATAATCATGTACTATTCTATAAATGAGAAATTATCGAGCAAAATTGGCATACACATCATATACATTGAAGATTATTATTATTATTATTTTGAAGTGTGTAATTGATGCTTTGAATCAGTTATCAGCAATATAGTTGCCTGTTGCCATCATCTTTCTTCCCCTGTATACATAAGTGGTGAAATAATTACTTTCGTGAAATTACAACTTTCACTGATACAAGCATATGCAAGTAGATAGCTAGTTACAAGGCCTGCTAATGGATTTCCATACGGCCTCTTAACTATTTTGCTATATTATTTATTGCATTTAGTCCAACTAAAGCTTTGTGTTTAACATGTTAAAACTAGATAGAAATGAACAAAATAACTAACAAATTTTGTCACACGTCTCCTTTTGTTTAATCTTCTGAAGTTCTATACAATCTAACATACAAAACATAATTGCGTACAACTCTAAATAGTACCAATCCCCAGACTTGTATTTATTACACTATCAAATAATACATGATACTCAGCCATCAAATACTTGGACAAATTCCTGCAAGAACGATGCCTTATTTATTCAAGGCAGACAAATGCAACTGATATCCCAAACTACCTAAGAACGGAGGAATAATCACGTGTGCAGGGTCCTTTTCCAAATCAATGGAGCCAACCCAAGCCTGACAGTGTAATGGCAATTAATTGGCCCTTGAATAGCCATCACGATTTTAGGTACTCGAATACTAAATATTATTGTTTTAATGAAAGATAAATGGAAAAAGGAAATAGAAAAAAAATTTAAACACACAACATTTTTCCAAAATGAATTATTTTTGCCTGTGAGCAATGTAATTTGCCATGGCAATCAGTGGAGCAGCTTTTTTTTGGATCAAATCCAATAAGCTATTCTTTAGCATCTCTTTTCAATTTCTCAGCAAACTCTCTTGATTTCTCAATGCCAATCAACTTTGTATAAGGAAGTTTATTAGCAACTAAATCCTTCCCTGCTGTTTTCCCCAGTTCTTGAGAAGATTTGGTTACATCAAGAATATCATCCATCACCTGAAACAACAATCCAGCACATCTCGAATACTTTCTCAACCTTTCGATTTCCTCATCAAACGCACCCCCTAGAATTGCTCCTATGATGGCAGAAGCCTCTAACGCGGCTGCAGTCTTATGAAGATGAATGTACTCAAGTTTTTCAAATCCCATATCAGATTGATCTTGACTTCCAGATTCCAAATCAGCCACCTGCCCAGCTACCAGCCCTTCTGGTCCAATCAATCTAGCCAATTCACCAATAACAAGAAGAATTTTCTCCGGTCTTATCCCCTACTGTGGTGGTTGCTATGTGCTCAAATGCACGCGTAATAAGCGCGCAGCCTGCTAATACAGTGACATATTCACCAAAAACCTTGTGGTTTGAAGGCTTCCCTCGGCGAAGATCATCATTATCCATACAAGGAAAGTCGTCGTGCATCAAACACGTAGCGTGCACAATCTCCAATGCGCACGCGGATGGCATAGCTATGGATTCATTGCCACCAGCAAGCTCACATGAGGCAATGCAAACTATGGGGCAGATCTGTTTGCCACCAGAGAGAAGAGAGTAAGGCATTGCTTCATGGATCTTGGTTGGATTTCTTAGTGGAACAACAGCACCTAATGCCATATTCACAGCATTGATCTTTTGAAGCATATAGGCCCTAAGGTTAAATCTAGTTTGATCGCCATCAAGCTTCGTTGGGTTAGAAACAGATGAATAGGAAATGAATCGATTTTCTGGATTGGGGAACAAGAAAGATTTGAACTTCCCCTTCAAAGGATGAAACAATTTATTGGAACTTAATCTTAGCGGAACTATGAATTTCATCTCTTTCCTTCTGGATTACACTGTTTATTCTTGTATTTGCCAAGAATTTAGCTGAACACTAGATCAGTAAGGATTATTTGAAAAATTGCAGTGTCAACTAATTGTGAAGATTTCGAGTATGAACAAGAATGGGATGCACGGAAACATCTCGATAGCGTCTTCATTTTGAAGAAGTTTCAAAAATCGGAACTTTTTGGACACTAATATTTTCTTTGGGTTTTGCTACACTAACACATGGGATGATATAGAGGATGACCGAATACAATGGGGTTGACATTTATTAATTCATATGAGACCCACGCGTAAAATATGAAGGTCAGATCACCCTTTCTGTCAAGCAATTCAGTCACTTCAACTTTATTCATATTTTTTTTTCTGTATTGAAAATTGTAAACTCTACCGACAATTTATGAAAGTTTTAAGTAGCTTCTAGTCAAAATATTTGGTAACTTTCCCCAAAAAAATTAATAGAAAGTTTCATTTTTGACATAAAAAGAAGAACTATTAGGCTAGATTTTAACCCGAAACCTAATTTTATCATTTATTTTTGTTGGCCTACACTGTTCAAATTCCATATCCAGTAGAAGAATTCATATTACCTTCGAAGAATTCGAAAAGCTGAATGAACAATTATTTTTTTCCAAGTTTGATTGAAAGCACACAAAAAAATAAGCATTCCATTTATACTTTGAATCTTTTATTTTTCTTATATAGCAGTAAAATGGGAAAAATATACAACTACTAGAGTCATATCTTAAGTAATTTACTAAATCTTCATTATTACCTGATTTGTAAAGTTAAAACTAATCTTCCTTATTTTTGTATAGTATATTTTATATATAGAGTTTCGGATAATTTTCCCCAATAAAATACTTCCAGCATAAATTTTGTGACGAGGCCAATTTTGAAGGTCAAAGAGGGATATAACATTAAAGTGTGCGCAATTTGTTTTTCTCTGTATTAGAGTTCAAACTTCAGCTCAAGCTCCAGCTCGTCATGTGCTGAACATGGTATAACTAATCTTGGTGCCAATTGTATCGACGCTAGATGTCATTTAGTTGTCATACAACTGCAGTGGTTATTTAGATAGTTAGTTAGATTCCTTTTGTATTTATATAGACGAAACAAACTTAGTTATTACCAAGAGTGTTGCTCCCCAAGCCCTACTTCATTTGGTGAGCCCTCCATTTGGATCATTTGTAAACAAACACATTGTGATATTTGACTACTCGAAAATGAAAGATTGAGACGTAAAATTCAGATTTTGCATTCAAGAACTTTGATATTATTGCAACTCATCTTCAATTTGTAAACAAATAAACCGTGATATTTGACTACTCGAATATAACTTTTATTTTCTTTAGAAGCCACAAAGAAATACAGTAATGACAGATCAATTATTCGTATAGGCAATATAATTAGTCAAGGCAGTCAAGGGAGCAGCCTTTTCAGGATCAAATCCAACAAGCTGTTCTCGGGCCTCCCTGTTCAGTTTCTCAGCCAACTCTCTCGATTTCTCAATGCCAAGAAGCTTTGGATAGGTCATTTTATCAGCCAACAAATCTTTTTCGGCCGTCTTCCCCAATTTTTGAGAAGATTTTGTGACATCAAGAATGTCATCCACCACCTGAAACAAGAGCCCATTGCACAAACTTTCTCAACTTAACAATTTCTTCATCATTTGCACCACCTGAAATGGCACTAAGGACCACTGATGCCTCTAATAAAACTGCAGTTTTGTGTATATGAATGTATTCCAAATGCTCTAATCCCACGTCAGATAATCCCTCTGAGAATATATCAACTATCTGTCTAGCCACTAGTCCTCCCGATCCAACACACTTTGCCAATTCACCTACCATTCTCACCATCCTATCTAAAGACACCCCTTTTGTTGCAGTTGCCATGTGCTCAAAGGCAAATGAAAGAAGTGCATCACCAGCCAAAACAGCCACATTTTTACCAAACACTTAGTGATTTGTGGCTTCCCTCTCCGCAAATCATCATTATCCATGCATGGAAGATCATCATGAATCAAAGACATGGTGTGTATCATTTCTACAGCACAGGCTGCAGGCATAGCAGTGGATTCATCCCTACCCACAAGCACACACACTGCTCAATATACAGTAGAGGCCGAACCCTTTTGCCTCCGGCAAGAAGAGAATAACTCATGGACACATGAATTATCAAAGGCTCCTTCAACAAGACTGCATTTTCCAAAGCCATGTTTACAGAACTTGCTTTGTCAAACATGTAGGCATTGAAATCGAAAGTGGCTATTGGATTCACAAGACTCATTCTTGCTTGCTAACAAAATTATTACATAAAAATTTGCTTTATCCTGTAAGTGAAGTGTTCATGAATATCTCTAGGCTCTGTAGAGAGAATTATTAGAGTTCAAACTTTAGCTCCAGCTTGTCATGTGCTTAACATGTTGAAACTAATCTTGGCTTTAATTGTATAGATGCTCCATGTCCATTAGTTTTCATACAGCTTTAATAGTTAGTAAGGACAATCATTTAACAAAGTTCAAAAGAAAGGAAGGCCAGTTTCAAATATTGTGGATACACTGGTCATGCTGTGTACATGAACATGTGAAATGTTTATTCGTTGACTGGTCCAGTTCAGTCCAATATCACACATCAAACGCAGGTAATAAAGAAATCCCACTGCTTCTATTTCAGGTATGTGTCACATTCATATATGTGGTTCGCAATGGATGTGTGGCATCGACCCTTCCATTCCAATCCATATACAAACTTTTCTCGGGGAAAAGGCACATGGGGACGTCTTTGGCGACTTAGGCACGTCAGTGAATTCTTTTCTAGGTACCATTACATGCCCACTACCTTTAACGTTTTCAATGAACTTACTCAACCTTTCAATCTCCTCATCAGATGCGCCTGTTGGATATTGGTTAAATAAATTGAGAATTGAAAATCGATTAAAGTTCGTATCGAATTCGGCCAAATACTCAAAAGCTCGACTCAATCCGTTTAGGCAAAATTGTTTGCCACTTCGCCTCTTCGGGGCGCACAAACGGGGATCGACCTGACCGGTCAGGTCGTGAGGGTCGAGGGGGCAGCGCCCCTCGTAGGGGGTCGGGGGCAACGCCCCCGAAAGAGAATTTCCATTTCTCTGCATGTATTGAAGGGTATATTTGGCATTTCGAAAACCAATATCGGATGAATGAGAAATTACGAAAAAGGCCTCAACCATTAGTGAATAGACACCTTTTCATAAGGGTGCATTGTTTGGAAAGGGTGCATGGTTTGGCCTCAACCATTTCGTCCACACCCCTTCATGGTCTATAAATAGGACCCTTTGGGTGTCCTATTCCTCACAGTTTGATATGCAAAAACGTCTCTCATCCTCTCTTCTATCCAAAATCAAAATCATTTCATTTATTTTGATTTTCTTTCATTTCATCTGTGGAGTACATAAGCCTACATTTGGTTAGTTGTACTTGTATTTTGGAGTGCTACAAACACAAGTGTAGCCGTTGTATCTTGGGAGTCGATTGCCGAAATCCGTAGGCACCGTTGCGGGGCAAATTCGACTTAAGGACAAAGAGTCCAACTCTTGCCTCGGCTTTGTCACCATCATTATACTTATTTCGGCGTCACTATTCACAAAATTCTTCCAACAGCGCCCTCTAGAATTGCTTGTTATATATTTATACTATAAATATAAAATGTGAAAGAAATAATCAAATTAGATGAAATGTCCAAGTGGTGAAAAATGTGACATTTGTATGAGACGTCGAGGGTTCAAGTCACTCCCCACGCTATTAAATAAAAAAAATTATTTTATTTATTTTCAAAATTATTTAACGGGTCAAACTAGCCAATATTTTCTGACCATTTTTTGTAGAAACTCACTATTCACAGTCATTAAAATACCCACTACCTACAGTCATTAAGATTCTGCATTATTCTCTGATTACATTCAGTTTGCCTATATAAACCCATGTCTCGTTTTGCGAAAAACACACAAAAAAAACACAAAATCATCTTGCACGAAATGTTCTTTCTCATATTCTGAATTTTTTATACTCGGGTTTTTACATATATTATGTAATACAATTGAGAGTTCTGAAAAAACATTCGTGATTGCTGTACAAGTGGTTTATGATCGTTGTATCTTGGGAGTAATTTTCCACAGAGGTCACAGCAGTTATCGATGGGCAATTTCATATTAGGGTATCGTGCTGTCATGAGACTCGATTGGACGATAAGTTTTATTTCTGCATTTTACTGTCATGCACGTTATTGCAACTGATTTTTTTTCCAACATTGCTCCCGCAATAGCAGAAGCCTCTAACGCGGCTGTAGTCTTATGAAAATGAATGTACTCAAGTTTTTCAAATCCCATATCAGATTGATCTTGACCTCCAGATTCCAAATCATCCACCTGCCCAACTACCAACCCTTCTAGTCCAATCAGTCTAGCCAATTCACCAATAACACGAAGAATTTTCTCCAATTTTACCCCTACTATGGTGGTTACTATGTGCTCAAATGCATGCACACGTAACTAGTGCGCAGCCAGCTAATACAATGACATATTCACCAAAAACCTTGTGGTTTGAAGGCTTCCATCGACGAAGATCATCACTATCCGTACAAGAAAGGTAGTCGTGCATCAAACACGCAGCGTGCACCATCTCCAACGCGCACGCGGATGGCATAGCTATGGATTCGTTGCCATCAACAACTCAGAGGAGGCAATGTTAGTTTTTTTTCTTCGATGAGCATCTGGATGTGGTCCACATTTTCCATCATTTTAGGGACGTGAATAACTGCTAAAATCATGTCCCAATTGCATCAATTTAGGGACGTGAATAATTGCCAAAATCATGCCCCAATTGTCTCCCCACGTTTGCGTTTGGTTGAGAATGGTTCTATGATGGATTGAGCCTATACAAATACAGTTTCTTCCACCGGTTGGGTCCCTAAGCCTTCCAATCCCATAGATTAAGACATATGCCATCTAGTCGAGATTGAGTGAGGTTTAGGAGCACCTAAATCTGATAATAAAGTGTATGACAGTGGCAATGGTGGGAGGTATTTTTTCGGTTCCATTTTATTCCGCATTTGATCTATATGCCCTTTCGGACCATATAAGCATGTTTAGATCATTAAGATATTACTTACAGTTGGTATCAGAGCCTTATTTACCTCTGCCTTGCTCGTTTTTGTTCTCTGCAAATTCCAAAAATTTTACAGTGTTCATGAAATTTTGGGTTAGACTTCAAATCCGTGTTTTGATGGAAATAAAATTAGGAATCATTGAGAAATTGGATATGACATTTTGGGATTTAAAACAGAAATTTTGGTGTCTCGAATGCATAGAAAGCCTTGAATTTTTATTGGAGTCGGATCCGGGTCAAAATGACCCGGCTAGAGGAAGAAGACGACCTTTTAGAATTCAAAAAAAAAAAAAAAAAAAAAAAAAAAAAAAAAAAAAAAAGCTGAAAGATGGCACACATGACTGCATATTTGCAGACTTGCAATGAGTTTTATTATTATATATATAAACATGGATATTGGAAAGAGACAGGCCGAAAGTGTTGACTTGCAGTTTGGCCTTCAATCCTGTCTCTTTCGTTGCCAATTATTCAAGTGCAGAATGAATTTTTTGGTTTGACCATTAGTTTCCAGCATGTGTGGCCCAAATTGTTAAATATAGATTCAAATGTTTTGGCTAGTGCCACGTGTAGTGATCCAAACTGCAATTATAATACACAAAGGGGTTGCAAATTCATTCTCCGTTTCAAATTTTCAATTAATAGGCCGAATTGCTCATGACAAACTTGCAGTGACCATTTTCAAACATTCTATTATATTATAATTTTTGGATTATTTCTTCGTATATATATCTGCATCATTGGTTGCAACGCCTAGAATTGAAACCCAATAATAAATGGTGTGGTCCTGCAGTGTATTCCAACCACTATAGATTTGGGGCAATTAATTTTTGAAAAGATGACAGGTGCCATCTAAGTGGCTGAATGTTTAGAACCTGTTTATTGTAGATGGCTTTGGTTTTTATGTGCTAAAATTATTTATTTTGTTAATTTGTATGTATAATTTTATCGCTTTGTTAAACATGCAATATTAAGTTAAATAATTTAGTACATTAAAATTTAGTTTTTGTGCTTATATTGCTTATGGGTTTGTGCAATTTATATGAGCATATTTTGTGCATTAATTTAATGTCGAGTGAACCATATAATTTTAATTAATTAGGGAGTAGTCACAGCATCCTTAATTATGCAAAATTATATATTAAAGTATAGGATCACATATTGAGTAAAGACATTAATTGTGGTTGATCATATTTAATGTAGTAAATTTTATCCCACAGGGATTTTGTTTATATTTATATGATCAACTAAGATAAATTATTAAATCACTTTCCTAATTACCCACAGGAATTAGGAATTGAAGCATGATTTTACATTGGTAAAATGTGATTTGATAATTTTATCATAAAGTTTATACATAGATTTAATTGAGTAGGACTTTAGCCCACAGGCAAGTTCTATGTCACTATATTCATATTTTGAAACATGATTTTACATTGGTAAAACGTGATTTGAAAATTTTATGATAAGGTATAATTGAATATGTTTGAATTAAAAATTTAGTCCACAGCCAATTTTTATGTCATTATATTCAATTTTAGGATGACTTACATTGGTAAAAAATAATCCACCCAATAAAAGCCTCAATTTTAAGATAAGTATTATGCAACTTCACAATCTGCGAATTTTTCTGATATTAAATGTGATGTTCCCGAATTAAATGGTAATAACTATAAAGTCTAGAAGGAGAGAATTCTCCTCCATTTGGGATGGATAGATATTGATTATGCCATTAGGAAAGACGAACCAAAAATCACTCCAATCAGCACTCCAGATGAAATCGCTCTTTATGAACGATGGGAACGATCCAATCGTCTTAGTGTGACGTCCATAAAGACCAAGATTTTTGCTGGTATTCGTGGTTCTGTCGAAGAGCATAATAATGTTAAGGCATTGCTGAAAGCTATTGATGAGCAGTTTGAGACTTTAGATAAATCACTTGCCAGCACCCTAGTTATGAAGTTTTCATCCATGAGGATCACTACTATGAGAGGTGAGCGTGAGCACATCATGCAAATGAGGGACATTACGGCTCAATTAAAAGCACTTTCATGTTTGAGTCTTTCCCTGTGCACTATATTTTGAACACCCTTCTACATCAATATAGACCCTTCAAGATATCATATAACACACATAAGGATAAGTGGTCAATTAATGAACTTCTGACTATGTGTGTTTTTAGGAAAAAGGGAGACTGACAATGAAATGGGTGAAAGTGCTTTGATGACAATACAAGGAAATGACGAAAAATAAGCCAAAAGGAAATGGAAAGGTAAAATACCTCCCCAAGGTGGAATTAAAAATGAATTCAAATGTTTCTTTTACAAAAGGAAGGAACACATGAAGAAAGATTACACCAAGTTCCAAAATGGCTTGAGAATAAAAGATAAACCAATCTCATTTGTCTGTTATGAATCTAATATGGTTGACGTTATTTATAACACATGGTGGATTGATTATGGTTCTACAATCCCTATTTCGAATACCTTACAAGGTATGCGATACCTAAGAAAACCAGTAGAAGGTGAGCAATGCACTTATTTAGGAAACAAGATGAGCTCACATATGGAGGTTGTTAGAACATGCATTTTAGTCTTAATCAGTGATTTTATTTTGAATTTAGAAAAGACATTTTATATTCCAAATTTTTCTACGAACTTGATTTCAATTTCAAGACTTGTATCTTTAGGTTATTCCTTTAATTTCTCAAGAAAAAAAAAAGATCTTTCAATTTATTTTATAAATCTGATCTTATTGGGAATTGTACATTGTCTGATTATCTTTTCTCTATTAATTTGTAAAATAATACTACTTACAATGCTATGCATGTTCACACTGATATGAAACAATGTGTTATGAATGAAGATTCCTCTATGTTGTGGCATCGAAGATTAGGACATATCTCCATAGAAAGGGTTAAAAAATTAGTAGATGAAATAGTACTTAATACTTTGGATTTTACTGATTTCGATACTTGTATGGACTGCATTAAGAGAAAGTAGACCAACAAGTCCAAGGAAAGGTGCCAAGAGGAGTACATACATATTAGAGATCATACATTCAGCTATTTGTAGTCCAAATATGGACTCGTATGGTCCAAAATACTTCATCTCTTTCATTGATGATTACTCACAATACATATATATCTACTTGCGTCGTAACATGGATGAAGCACTAGATGCCTTTAAGAGGCCGAAGTAGAGAAATAATGTGGAAAGCAAATTAAGATCGTGAGAACAGATAGAGGTGGAGATGGACAAGCACCTGGTCCATTTGCGAAGTTTCTTCAAGAGCATGGGATAGTTGCCTAATGCACCATGCTTGGTTCCTCAGACCAAAATGGTGTAGCAGAAAGAAGAAATCGAACTTTAATAAACATGGTGAGGAGTATGCGTAGTAACTCCAAACTTTCTGAATCCTTTTAGACTGAAGCTCTTAAAACAACAATGTATATATTAAACCAAGTTCCAACCAAGGCTGTCCTAAAGACGCCATTTGAATTATGAAAAGGTCAGAAATCGAGTTTGCAACATATACGCATATGGGGATGTCCATCTGAAGTAAGAGTTTACAGACCCAAGGACCATTAATGGGTACTTCATTGGATATGCTGAAAGATCTAAAGGGTACAGATTTTATTGTCCAACTCATAGCACTAGGATTGTAGAGTCAAAAAATGTGAAGTTTCTTGAGAATGACTTGATTAGTGGGAGCGATCGATTCCAGGACATTTTTTCTTAAAGAATCATATTGATGCTCGACTTTCCACTTCAAGTGATAGATTGATTGTCGTTCACAACATCCCTCAAGTTCAAACAGGTGTTGGACAACCAATTATTGAAGTTTCACAAGCTGCTGATGATAATTCATTAGATCAAGATGTTCAAAAATTGCCTAAAATTGTGGAATGTTGAACAATCAGTTGAACAACATGATCCTCAGGAAAATGTTGATACAACATTAAGGAGATCTACTAGAATAAGGAAATCAACAATACCTAGCGATTAAGCTATATATCTACAAGAATAGGACTTTAATGTTGGAGCCAAAAAAGATCTTGAAACATTTTTACAAACAACGGATGTGAAAACGGCATTTCTCAATGGAGATTTAGAGGAAAAGGTTTACATGAAACAACCAGAAGGATTTTTCTGTAGTGGTAGTGAGCATTTGGTGCGCAAGCTCAAGAAATCCATATATTGATTGAAACAAGCTTCCCGTCAGTGGTATTTGAAAATTCATGATATTATCTCTTCATTTGGAATTGTAGAAAATGTTATGGATCAATATATATACTAGAAGGTCAGTTGGAGTAAGATTTGTTTCCGTATTCTATATATGGATGACAATTTACTTGCAATCAATGATAAGGGTTTGCTATATGAGGTGAAACAATTTTTCTCTAAAAATTTTGAGATGAAAGATAAGGATGATGCATCTTTTGTCATTGGTATTAAGATTCAAAGGGACAGATCTCAAGGTATTTTAAGTCTATCTCAAGAGACCTATATCAATAAAGTTTTAGAGAGATTTTGGCTGAAAGATTGTTCACCAAGTATAGCTCCCATTCTGAAGGATGATAGGTTTAATTTGAACCAGTGCCCGAAAAATTATCTTGAAAGGAAACAAATGAAGAACATTCATTATGCTTCTGCTATCAAAAGCTTAATGTATGCTCAAATCTGCACAAGACCTGACATTGCATTTGCTATAGAAATGTATGGATGATATCAAAGTAATTCAGGTATGGACCACTATAAAGCAATGAATAAAGGAATGAGGCACCTTCAAGATACTAAAAATTACATGCTTATGTGTTGACGAACTGAGTTCGTATATTGTT